ACAAACCTTAAGAAGTTCTCTGACATGGATGTCCGAATGTCAAGATTCGTAATTCCAAGACTTCGTATCGGACCAGCTTCGAGGACATGAGAAAAAGCATGCGTTGATAAATTACAAGGATTGATGATGAAGTTTTGAATGTTTGGGGAGCACTTGACATGGATGCCCAAAGATCGGGACTTGCAATTCCATATATTCCAATTGGACCATTTTTTAGAGCTCGATTGAAAGTTTGCATCGAAAAACTGTAAGGTTTGATAAAGAAATTTGAGGATTAGAGCGTAACCGATGGACTATGTTACAGCATGCGAGTACTTGATGGAATACCTAGGGCGAGTACCATGGTAGTAAAGGTTACGTTGGAGCTTGCAACGCCTTAATCGGACAACTAACGGAAAATTGTGCAAACTTGGCTAAAATAGAGACAGTTTAATATATAATACATAAACTTAGGATTGCACATGCATTAGCGGGGGGGGGGGGGGGGGGGCATTAGGCTAGTTGTCTTTCATTGGGAGGTCATTCATATAATTCATCCCACATTGGAAAATCTATCAACTTTTCCCTTCCCCCACTCCTATAAATAGGTGTTTTGTAAGACACACCAAACAAAATATATTTTTATAAATATTTGATAATTTATGATATATTTATTTATTTTATTTTTATTTTTATGGAAGTTATGCTTAATTGCTGCAATACTTCTCTTTTAGTCTAATATTTCATAAAATGAAATTTCATTGCATGCTTCATCAGTTTAGTTTCAAGATTTTAAAGCCTCAAGTTCATGGCATTTGGGGAAGGTGAAATAACTCTTCAAAGTGCCGACCGAGGTGATGCCTTCATAAATGATGGTTCAGTACTAAAAGTGTATTGGGTCGTGCTTACGATAGTATTTACTTAGGTTTGATTCTCTTTTGATTATCTTTTTTCTTGATTTTTTCGTCCTGTTTAGTTAATTCGTTCATTTTTCTTGCTTAATTAATTTCGTTTAGTAGTTTGTTCTTTGTTCTTACTTTATTAGTTAGTTCCACTTAGTTGTTTATTCCGTGTCTTGTGTAATTGATCAATTCGGTCTATGATATTTTCTTTAGTATTTTACAGTGGAGGTTAGAGGATTCATGGTTTTTTCCACCCCTACCACCTATCAGTGGCTGCTGAAATCTTTTTTGCCAAAAGATTCCTTTCCTATTTTGTGTGTAATACGAATTTACTTCTTTATTAGACTTAATCAAATATCATTTTCTTCTACATTCATTCTCTTCACTCACACACCAAGGTTTGTATTTAAATTGTTTAAATTATATTCTTGATAAATCTGTTGAAAGGAAAGAGAAGAATTAACGATTTAAGCTTATGATCGCATCATATTGTTAATAGAGATTAGGTAGTTTGTAGTATCTAAGTACGTGGGAGACTTGTCGAACTGCTTAGTATGTAATTTGAATTTAATCATGATTTAAGAAATGTATAAAAAGAGTAGAGCCACTAGTGAAGATTTTTAAGTAATAATTAATTAAACATAATTGTTTGTCTATCATATCTCAGAAATATCTAGTGACAGTAGCTATTATTTTAAAGAGCAAAAATCATTTTTTGTCCCATTCAATATCATAACTATCAATTTTGGTTTCATTCAAAAAACTTTATCAATTTTGGTCCCACTCAAATGAAAATTTATCAATTTTAGTCCCAAAATGGTTGATTGGGACTGAACACGGCCGTGTTTGCTTGAACATGGCCGTGTTGGATGATTCAGAAGGTGACTGGGCATCCCAGGCAGCCAACACGGCTGTGTTGATTACCTTGCACTTCTGAACACGGTCGTGTTCCTGCCCGTGTTCTGAACACGGTCGTGTTCCTGCCCATGTTCTCAACACAACCATGTTCTAGACCATGTTCCTGTCCATATTCTCAACACAATCATGTTTTAGGCCCTGTTCACGACCATGTTTTCAATATAATCATATTGTAGGTCATATTTATTATTATTTTCACTTTTTGGTTGAAATTATTTGATATATATTTATAATTCAACAAAAATATTTTTTACAATTATTTTATAATATAAAAAATAATCAATTTTTAATATTTTAAAAATATATAAAAATAATAATATATTAATATATATATTTAATAATACTTCCCCCGTACCACTTACCATGTCCACATTGCCGTTTCTGTCCGTTCCACATCCCATGTCACTTTTCTTTTTTGAAAAATAATTACACACTACTTTTTAATTTAATTTTTTTAAATTTTAATTAAACTAATGAGTTATCTTAATTTTAATTTATAACTATTTATATTATATGATAATTATTTTCACTAATACATTCTTAATTATCTACTAATTATACTTATTCTAAATTCTCGTGTCTACAGTGACCCAAACATCCAACGTGGGACGGAAGGAGTATTATTTTAAAATATTATTTTGAATAATAAATTTAATTTATAATTTATAGAAATAATTAATGTAAAATAATATTTTAAAAATTTTTACTATAAATTTTTAAAAATATATATAATGATGATTATTAAATATATATATATATATTAATATATTATTATTTTTATATATTTCTAAAATATTAAGAATTGATTATTTTTTATATTATGAAATAATTATAAAAAATATTTTTGTTGAATTATAAATATATATATATATCAAATAATTTTAACCAAAAAGTGAAAATAATAATAAATATAACCTACAATATGATTATATTGAAAATATGGTCATGAACATAGTTGTGTTGAGAACATGGGCAGAAACATGGCCTAGAACATGGTTGTGTTGAGAACATAGGCAGGAATATGGTTGTGTTCAGAACACGGGTAGAAACACGGCCGTGTTCAGAAGTGCAGGGTAATCAACACGGCCGTGTTGCAACACTGTCTGGGATGCCCAGTCACCTTCTGAGTCATCCAACACGGTCGTGTTCAAACCAACACGACCGTGTTCAGTCTCAATCAACCATTTTGGGACTAAAATTGATAAATTTTCATTTGAGTGAGACCAAAATTGATAATTTTTTTTTGAATGAGACCAAAATTGATAATTATAATATTGAATGAGACCAAAAATAATTTTTACTTTATTTTAAATAATATTCATAACTGTGAATCTGAAGTCTCATTGTAACTCCTAAGATCAAGTACCAGTTAAGTCAAGAATCTGATTTAAAATAACAAACATGATAACACTGTTTACTTTTGCACCATTTTCGCTCTTATATGTATAAACCCCATTAATTTGCATTAATCCTCCTGCTCATTTCATCCAAGGTGACCTAGCGATTAAGGAACACAACTTATCTCACACACAAACACATCGTTTCATTCTATCATTAGATATATTATCGCTTCCAGAATCATCATCACTTTCAACCATCATTTGCTACCATCACCAGTATACAGTGTCACTTATCACTACTCTCACTACACTAACATTTCAACAAAACTTCAATCCTATCCATCTCCTGCATGTTGTTCACTCACTTAAATATGTCACCATACTCACCCACTTGGACTCGCTTTTACTACTCTACTTAGACTAACTTTACTGATTTTTGCAGATCGTTAGCCTGCTTCGCTCAAACTCACTTAAGTATTCTCTTTAATTTTAATACGAAGATTAGAAACTACAACAACACTTTCATTAATTAAATGTCGCTTACACTATGCCAATATCACAAGGTTTTACATTAAATCCATACAATTGTTTTAACTTTACCTTTCGCTGATGTTTTGTAATGTGTTCATATCATGTATTTTGTGTAATATTTTGTTATTGTATTGTTTTTTTTTTTTTTAATATTAATATAGATAATGTGATTATTTTCTAAACTTTTGATAGATGCTATTTCAAAAAATCAATATAATATTGATTTCTCAAAATCAACACCGGGATCGAACCGAATGGAAAAATATAGATAGTACATTCTTTTATTCATTATAATATTTCCTCCGTCTCGTAATAATTGAAATTTTTTTTATTTTTATATGTCCTATAATAATTGATATCTTTAAAACTTACCAATTCAAAAAATACTTAACAAATATTTAATTACATAACATATAATATTATAAATTATGTACGACATACTCAAAACTCCTTTATTTCAACTTCCTAAAAATATAAATATTTTAATTTACATTTTATTTTACTTCTTTTATAAAATTAGTTTATTTTAATTATAAATAAATAAAAATATTTTTTTATTTACTTGTATTATAAAAAAATTTATTCTTTACAAAATTATATCAATATTATATATTTATTTATTGCGATATAATTTTTAGAAATATTTAAATATATATTCTAATTTTTTTATGATATATTTTGAATTTATTTTAAAAATATTAATATTATTAATTATATAAAAAATAATAAAATAAGAGTATTATCGTTCACTATTATTAACTAATTGAATACTATTTCCCTAAATACGTGTAACTAATAAAATAGTTCAATTATGTGGTATAAAGGGATTATAACATAACAAACAAAGTTTAAAATATTTGGAGTTTAATACTATTGCCCAAAAAATTAATAAAAAATATATAGATAGTGTAACAAAAAATATTAGGTAATTGTGATTTTTTATGAAATTTTCAAACATTTTTACTATTTTTTTAAAATATCAAATTAAATAATTTATTTTTATTTTTATATTATATTAAAATTATTTTATATTTATAATATCAAATTAAATAATTATACAAATTTAAATTTTTTACTAATTCAAATGTTGACACCCAAAATCAAAGACACTGTAATTAGTGTAAGAAATAAAACAGTAAAATATAATATGTTCACTGGGTCAATGTAATTAGTGTAAGAAATATAACAGTAAAATATACTGGGTCAATTAGGAGTTCCGTCGATTAAGGGAATTTTGTTAATTCGATTTTGACAGTATGAAAAACATAAAAAAGGGCAATTATAGAAGCAGCAGTAGCCAGTAGGTTAAATGTACAGAGAAAGTGTGCGAGTGTGTGGCATTTACCTCATCAACAACCACTCCCATTTCTACCGAGAAGCAAAACCCTAAAAGAGGCTTCTTGGAGGAGCGGTCCGCCGCCAGATTGATTTACCTCCTATTCGTATGTGTATATAAATACGCTAGATTCTATATATATATGTGCATAAATATATATTTATGTAATAGAATCATGGGCGTGTGTGTCACTCTGTGGTATTGTTCTTGTACAAACCCTGAAGCCATCCATCCTAGTTCCGAGCCGAGCCCCTATTTTTCTTCCTTTGATTGAGGGAATGTTTTTTATTTCTCGGTGTTCCTGAGGATTCAATGTGGATGAGAAGATGGATTTTATGCTGAGGAACAGTTTTTCAGTTTGCGGTTACTCGTCGTCGTTGGTGGGAGTGAGCTTTGCTTTACGTTTGATCGTGTTGTTTTGACGGTTTTGCTCTTTCTTGAGACCTCAGCCTTTTTCTTTTTTTCCTTTTTTAACTTTTGTTCTTGTTTTCCTTCGAGACGTGATGGTCAAAGGCTGGAACTTTTGTGAGCTCGAAGGTTTGATTTTCGATTCGTGACGTTGGGGTTATTTATTTATTTTGGATTAATTAGCGGTTGGTTATTTGAGGTTTTTTTTGGTGTTTAGATTTTGTGGAGAATCACCATCATCATGTTGTCTGAATTGGAGCGGAGGCCAATGATTGGTAACAATGAAAATTCATTTGGGGATGAGTTAGAGAATGATCTAGGGTTCTTGCTCCGTGAACAGAGGCGGCAAGAAGCCGATGATCTTGAAAGGGAACTGAATATTTACAGGAGTGGATCTGCTCCGCCCACTGTTGAGGGTTCCTTGAGTGCAGTCAGTGGGCTGTTAGGCCATGGAGGTCAAGGAGGCGGAGGGAGTAGCGTAGGCTTGACAGGTCTGGAGTTTCAAAGAAACTCCTCTAAGAGCAATGGATTCTTGTCTGAGGAGGATATTAGGTCTGATCCTGCTTATCTGTCTTACTATTACTCTAATGTGAATCTGAATCCGCGGCTTCCACCTCCACTTTTGTCGCGGGAGGACTGGCGCTCCTCGAGGAGATTTCAGGGCGGAAATTCGGCTATTGGGGATAAGAGGAAGGTGAGTAGGAATGACAGTGCCAATGGTGGGAGGTCACTGCTTTCGATGCCGCCCGGATTTGAGTTAAAGAAGCAGGATAGTGATGTTGAGGACAAGCTTCAGGGTTCCGTTGACTGGGGCGGTGATGGACTAATTGGTTTGCCGGGATTAGGGTTAGGTAACAAGCAGAAGAGTCTTGCTGAGATCTTTCAGGTTTGTGACATGGACTGTTGGTCTGTCTGTACACCACATTGCTTCAATTATTCTTTTCACTTTTCTTGGGACATTTATTTATATCAAGAATACAACGCCGTGGCTCTCCGAATTTGGGATTTGACTACTAGTTATAATTGCAGATCCTCTAGATATTGTCCTGACTGCTATCATCTTTCTACATAGTTTGCATGTTAATGTTCATTACAGATTTCAAATGGGTGTATTTCCGAAATTGTTATCTGTTTTTATCTTTCTGCAAAGCTTCTTTTGTAACCTTATCTGCTTACGCCTCCTCCAATGGATTCGACTTGTTTTATTTGATAAATGGGGCAAGACTTTTTATATGGGTTTCATCATGTTAGTAATCATGTTAGTGTATCACCTGAAGGGAAAAGTATTCTCCGCCACATGGAAAATGATCTTTTTTCATTATCTCAATTTGTTGAGCTGCCTATCATTAATTGCTTGCATATGCAATCATTCTCCATAATTGTCTTTGTGAAAACAATTCATCAATCTGTTGATGTTATTCTTGGTTGGAAGTTGGAATAATCAATCCACCAATCATCTTTCCCTTTATCAATGATTCTTTGTCTGTATAATCTTATTTCCATGGTTGATGTTTCAGTGTACTTTCTTCTCCATTGTGGTATCTGCACAGGTTCATTAGGATTTTCTCGAAGATTATTAGGCATCACAACCTTCTTATTTATTTATTTATAGAAATTGGCTACAGCTAAGACACAGTTATGCTTGCAGGATGACATGAACCGTACAACTCCAGTTTCCGTACACCCTTCACGCCCGTCGAGCAGAAATGCTTTTGATAAGAATGTCGGTGGAACTTTTGGCTCAGAGACTGACATGGCTCATCTGCATCAGGATTTTACTTCTTCTGATCCAGTTCACTCTGTTACAGATATTCAGAGCTCTTCAGCTACTCAGTTGTCTGGGCAACCAGCATCGTATTCTTATGCTGCTGCGTTGGGTTCATCCTTGTCAAGAAGCACAACTCCTGATCCTCAACACATTGCAAGAGCTCCCAGTCCCTGCCCAAATCCTATTGGAGGTGGCCGAGCCGGAAATCATGAAAAACGAAACATTAGCAGCTCTAGCTCCTTTAATGTTGAGTCTTCCCATTCAAGTGAAGCGAGTCTTGCTACTGCTTTATCAGGCATGAATCTATCTAATGGAATTATAGATGCAGAAAATCATTTTTCGTCACAGATTGAACAAGATGCCAATGACCGTAAAAATTATCCATTTGCTCTCCAGGGCGGCCAGAACAATGCAAGACAGCGACCTTCTATGAAAATGCATGAACCTTTGCATTTCAATATGTCTACTGTGCCTCAGCCTGGAAAAATAATGCCTTTGGATTCTAGTACGGGTGGTGGTGATAGGACCGATCTCATAAGCACTTCCCTCCAATCTGAGCTGCAGAAGAAAGTTCCCTCTAATAAGGCCATCTATCTGAAAGGAGCTTCCAATGCTGCAGTTGACAGTGTGGACCTCCTCTCTCAATATCAACACATGGGCAGTCCCAATTCTTCCTTTTCAAGTTATGGATTAGGCAGCTACTCTGGGAGTCCAATGAGCGGCAATTTACCACCTTTATTCGAGAATGCTGCTGCTGCATCTGCTATGGCCGTACCTGGAATGGACTCTAGGGTGTTGGGTGCATCAAATCTTGCCGCTACCACTGGGGAGCAGAAGCTTGGGAGAATTGGAAATCAGCTGGTAGGGAGTGCCATGCCATCACCATACGCTGATCAGGTATACCTGCAGTACATGAGGACAGCTGAATATGCTGCAGCACAAGTTGCAGCTCTCAACGACCCCTCTGTTGATCGGAATTACATGGGGAATTCATATATGGACCTTCTTCAAAAAGCTTACATTGGGAATCTGCTGCCAGCCCAAAAATCACAGTATGGAACATCATTTGGTGCCAAGACCGGTGCAACTAGTCCTCATGGTTACTATGGAAATCCTGCATATGGTCTTGGATTGTCTTATCCTGGAAGTCCCTTGGCTAGTCCAGTTATTCCAAATTCAGCTGGAGGACCTGGCAATCCTTTGGGGCACGGCGACTTCAATATGAGGTTCCCTGGTGGTGTGAGAAATGCCGTGGGGTCTGTAATCGGACCGTGGAACTTGGATAACATGGATAATGGTCTAGCTTCATCTTTGCTTGAGGAGTTCAAAAGCAACAAAACCAAATGTTTTGAGCTGTCAGAGATTGCTGGTCATGTTGTTGACTTTAGGTATGCCTTTATGCACTCTAATTTGACATTTTGGTGTATATTGGTATCTGACATTATTGCTCTGTTACACCTTAACTAGTGCTGACCAATATGGAAGCCGATTCATTCAGCAAAAGCTTGAAACCGCCACGAATGAAGAGAAGAACATGGTTTTCAATGAAATCTATCCTACTGCTATTATTTTAGTTACTGATGTGTTTGGGAATTATGTAATCCAAAAGGTAAAAAACTTGCGGCAAGTCATTCATCTTACAAACTGTATGGTTCTTAGTTATAGCTTTTAGATCATGCTGCATAATTTCTGGTGCTAATCTACTTGTTCTGCTAGTTTCTTGAACATGGAATGGAGTCTCAGAGAAGGAAATTAGCTGGCCTTCTTTTTGGGAATGTGCTTCACTTAAGTCTGCAAATGTATGGTTGTCGAGTGATACAGAAGGTAATCTCTTACGCATACTTGTATACCTGAAAGGTGTGGTTTCGAAACTTCAGTAAGTTTCTTACATATGAGAATGTATCAATTCTGAATTTCCAATGTGTATATATATGCATGTAATGATATTGAAAAATACTGTATGCTAAATGAAGATAATTTTGCTTATAAAAATATTGATACGATGAGCAATTGCCTGGTCATTCAGGCAATAGAAGTTGTTGATGTTGATCAGAAGATCAAAATGGTGGAAGAGCTAGATGGGCATGTCATGCGTTGTGTGCGTGATCAGAATGGGAATCATGTCATTCAGAAATGCATTGAATGTGTGCCAGAGGAGTACATTCAATTTATTGTATCTACATTTTTTGGCCAAGTTGTTACTCTCTCCACTCATCCGTATGGATGTCGTGTGATACAGGTTAGAGATTCACGGTCCCTTGCTTTTTCTTTTTTTCTTCAAAAGTGTTGCTTGGACTTCTTATTGTAATTTGTAAGATTTTTTTATTTTTTTATATTCTGCAGCGAGTTCTGGAGCATTGTGAGGATCCAAAGACCCAAAGCAAAGTGATGGATGAAATTCTAGGGGCTGTAAGCATGCTGGCACAGGATCAGTATGGAAACTATGTTGTTCAGGTTTGTAGTTTTTTTGTAAATCTATTTGTATATTTCTTATGATCCTGTATACATTTTGGAACTATTTTTCACCTTGGGGCATATTTTTTAATCTGAAAATTCTGTCTATTATTTTTACCATTTATTTTTTCAAGCATGCTTATGTACCGTACCACCTTATCTTGTATTCTGCTTGATAATCTTCTATGGTTTGTGACTCCATATTTCACTCTTTTTAGCTGTAGACTTTGAATTCTTTTGTACTTGTAAAGTGATCAACCAGTCAGCATACCTTTGCTAGCTTTTTTTTTCATTTCTTCCGTAGCTAGTTTATATGGCACACGTCCTGCTTCCACCATAGATGTACGCACGCTGCCTATATAAATAATTTAGCATAGAATGCTTACTGTACATCTCTGGCGATTGACTTCTGGTTTCATATGTTATTTGTGGTGACCAAAATAATGTCGAGGAACTGATATGTGGTCAAACTAAAGTGAAAATAATGAGGGTCAAGAGATGCATCAGAGTAGAACTATTTACATTGCTGGAAAAGTTTTGGTTGTGTTTTGGGGCATTTCAGTAATTGTAAAAATTTGAGGTAGAAAATGTTTGATGTGAGAGGCAGTAGATGTGATATTTTAATAAAAATAAATATATTATGTGATCTTTTGGAAGGAAGAAAAATAAATTACTATAGATGAATGAATTTTGGATAACACAAGCAAACAATGGTTTCCTCCTTTCTAGTCACTGATTTATACTCGTGTATTGTTATTGTAATCTTTCACCAAATATTAGGGCTCCGTTTACTAGTGTCTTTTCTTTTACATAGTTTTTTTATTCTACATCAAAATTATTTCTATCACATACTGTATATATGTATATATTATCTTTCCTTTTTTTTTTTTTTTTTTAACAAAAAAAATCACATACAACAAAAATACAAATACAAAGTAAACATACTGTTCGGGTGTGTTTGGTTTGTGTTGTGTTTAAATAAAAGTTTGATATGATATTTTGCGAGAGGAAATAAAATATTTTTACATGGAATCATAAGGATTATAAAGTAAAGAAAGTGAAAAAAATCTCAGAAAGAATAGATCCTTATCTCTTTTTCTACTTTCAATAGATAATTAATTACCTGCCTTTCTACAGCTGTATATCTCAGCTATTTCAGTAAATGGGCAAATATTTAGGCATCTTAGCATGCATGCTTGCTAGGCTGCACAATACTAATCGGTTTCACTTACTGTTGATGCAGCATGTATTGGAGCATGGGAAGCGTCACGAACGATCTCTGATAATTCAGGAATTGGCAGGGAAAATTGTTCAGATGAGCCAACAGAAGTTTGCATCTAATGTTGTTGAGAAATGCTTGACTTTTGGTGATTCAAGTGAACGCCAACTGTTGGTGAATGAGATGCTTGGAACAACTGATGAGAATGAGCCTCTTCAGGTTTGTTATGTCCCATTTTTACTTCCTTAGCTCAACGCATTCTTTCTTAGGTAGAAGTTCCCAATAAAATGTGTTTTACTTGTGGGGAAAACAAGCATCAATTTCCATGATTCATTCGACATTGGTTTGTCTGATCTTGTTAATGGTGGTGTGATCCATGATATTCTGCATCACATGACATAATCAGTACATTTAAAGATGAATTAGTTATTATATCATAGTATCTGCTCCAATATTAATCTTTTTGTCCCTCTCGCCATATCCAGGCTATGATGAAAGATCAGTTCGCAAATTATGTTGTTCAGAAAGTTCTTGAGACCTGTAGTGATCAGCAGCGCGAGCTAATCCTATCGAGAATTAAAATTCATTTGAATGCGCTCAAAAAGTATACGTATGGGAAGCATATAGTAGCTCGAGTGGAGAAACTTGTTGCTGCTGGAGGTAACATCAGGGCATTATCGGTTTATGCAGTTTTTTTGTGATTGCATTACTTCCTCGGCTATACAAAATACTTACGGCAGCAGGTAATGATCTAACAAAACTTTCTCTGCAGAAAGGAGAATGGCCGCACAGAGCCTGAATGCGGCGTAAAATTGGCATAGGGAGGGAGTTGTTGTACAGCTAACTGAGGCTAGTTTGGGCTACCTCTCTTTCTTTCTGTTTCTGATTGCGAATAAAGTCTGAGTTGCCTGTACTAAAGAAAAAGAAAAAAAATGGAAAACTGTATCGTGTGTAGTGTTCAGTTTTTATTATTATACATAGAAAAGATCGAGGCTTAGTATATGCAGAGAGGCTCAGAGGCCAAACGATCCCGATGATGCCCGTGCCTGCACCAGATAAAAAGTCAGTCAATCAGATAGATGATACTCTACGCTAGGCAAAATGCAAAGCCATGCCATGCCATGCCGAGGATGTAAAGTTTTCGACGCGGCACCTTAGTGGCTGTACAAATTGTGAAGCACTGGTTTTCTTTCTAGTCCAGGGATGTTATTATATAATTTAAGGATGTTTTCTCCTTACAGGCGCTGTTTCTTCTTTCCCTTCTTGCAAATTTCATATAAATCATCATAAACCAGTTTACCTCAGATTCTTGCATATACAGATTCTGAATCTTAACAATCTTTATACATACAATAGTAAAACATGGAACAAAGAATATGCCAGTCATTATTCCATCATGTGAAGGACTTAAAAAACATTAAGAGTGATGTTCTGGAGCATGGTAACATTAAATCAACAAAAAACATCTGGAAGATGATATATAGAGAACGATAAAATGTGCTCTGAATTTCCGCGCCATGGGACTCTGTTGAGCTATTCGGGTGGGTAAGCAGAGCAGAGCATCGCCATACGCTCTAGAAAATCTTACATGTAAATCACTTAACCACGATGCTGTGTCTTGTTATTGCACTCACTGGTGAATTCTGTAAAAGAAGCAGCAGGTTAACAAAAAGGAGTGATTTATGTAAATCCTGAGCCTGTTAATTCTTTTACCATCCATTTACTTTGTTCTTGCATAAGCTAATGAAAAACAGCAGCAGAAAACAGGAAGCAATTCACTCAATTTACATTCATAAGAGAAGGAAACAGAAGACAAGTAACAAATGCATTCAGTTAGACAAGTTTTTTTTAGATTCGATAAACCAAAAAGGCAAGTGAATTGAGAAAACATCCTAAAGATCTAAGTAGTATTGCACCAACATTCACACTCAATTTTATCCACCTTCACAAGAAATTAAATGTGCAGCCAAGATTCTAGTTGTGGCACCATGAGCTTTCTTGGTGGTCTCCCCTAGATGAGAGTGAAAATATGCCAAAACTTTTGCACAAGATGAAAAAATGATATATAACATGAAATAGCTAAATAAGTATGTCAACAGTCACAATTCAAAAACAGAGCTTTGTTGCACAATTCATAAAGAGAGCTTTGTTGCACAATTCAAAATCGCAATAACTCCCAAAGAAAAACAAAAGTAAGCAATTTTATGCTGATAACGCGATACACCAACAAACATTCTTAAACAATCTCATCACAAAGAAGCAGGATTATCAGTAACTTAGGGACAACTAGTTGCAAGCAAGAGTTCTTCCATGCAAGAACTTAAATGAGGCTAAGTGACAAACAATTTCATTGCCTTTAGTCCGGCCAAATTTATAAGAAACAATTTGAAGCACCAGTAATTACAGGGAGCAAACCCAAAGAATGGTCCTTTAACACACAAACTTTTATTTACAAAGAACAAAGCATATTATCCATTTGGCTCTTTAAAGATCCAAACATTTCATAATATATAACATGCATAAGTTGGCATAAGTCCTATAATTTAATCATATATCTAATCTACCACTCCATGAGTACAGTTTATAGCAATCAATATAAGAATCCTATGCTGGATTATGATGTATATTCAATCAAGTGATATATTTGGCTAACATAACAAGTCCTAGCTAGCTGAGGTTCACATGTCACATTCCCAGTGCAAAGAATCAATCCACCAGATCCTCCTGTATGGTACCAATTCGAGATCAGCAATGGAGAAAGAACAAACAGCAAAACAAAGATCAACCAAACAACACAAATTGAAGAAGTCATACCATAAGAAAACTCTCTCACCTTTATTCCCAACATTCCACAATTCAATCATCCTAACATTTATTGTTGTTCTGTGCCATGTGATGAGAATAGCCGCCACTGAATTTGTTCCCGGACCAGTCCCTTTGCTGCTGCACCATGGTACTGTAATGCTGCTGCTGGTAATGGTACTGATCGTAGCCATGAAATCCATTTCCAGGTAATAGCTGCATTGGCATCACAGGTGGCTGCTGCTGTTGCTGCGGAGGAGGTGGTGGTGGAGGAGGAGGAGGAGGAGGATATGGCATTGTAATCGGAGGCGACGGTAGGCCGAGGTTTCCATTGCCGCCCCCGCTGGTGCTATGGCTTCCATTCCCATGGCTGGTGGATGAGTCGTTGAAGCTCTGCAACGGCACGGGAGTGGAGGCGAAGAGGTGATCGGAGGGCGAGGGGCCCTCGTTGGAAAGGCCCTGCATCCTCTTGACATAGAGGCGATACTTCTGGAGATGGCTGGCGACGTTCTCGCGGGTCAAACCCTCCACATTCATCAGCTGCATAATTGTCTTGGGGACGGCGTTCTTCAACCCTAGATGCGCCACCACATCCACGAACCGTTTGTGAAGCTGCGGGGTCCACACGAGGCGCGGCCGCTTCAGAGTCGTCTTGGCGGCGCCGCCCGCCCCCGCCCCTGCCGCTGACTGGTCGTCCAGAGCCAGATCGTCGGTTGGGTCAGTCCGCCGGGTCTTCTTCGAATCAGATCCTTCCTCCGCCGCGGGGTCCGAGTCCGGGTCCGGGTCCGGGTCCGGGTCAGTCATGACGTGATCGTCGTCCACGAAGGGCTTGAAGTTGGCGGGGGGCCCTCCTCGAAGGGAAGAGAGTGTGGTCTGCGAGGCGTGGTTGACGTCGAGCAGGGTCCGCGTGGGCTCCGGCGAGATTTTGAAGGCGGAGGCCAATTCGGCGGGGATGAGGGACTGGGAGAGCGGAGTGAGATCATGGAGGGAGGGGAGGCCCGCCTCCCACTCCGCCACGCTGTCGTCGTCGAAGATTCTCACTTCCTCCTCACCCATATTACATACATACACACACACACATAATACATGTAGCAATTGAATTTGAAATTGAATCCCGATAAGATACAACCAACCCTCCGATTTGACTCGAATACAAGAAAGAAGAAGATAACTGTGTCTGTGCCTTCCTTCTTGCCTGCCTTTGTAGAATTGAATTGAATTGAACTGAACTGGAACAGGAACACGAACAGGAACAGCAGCCGAGGGTAGGGTAGCGTAGGGTAGGGCAGGGCAGGGCAGGGTAAGTGAACTAATAACAATGGAAAAACAAGGGGAATTCGCTCGCTCGGTCGCTCAGCAGGTCCGGTCCGGTTGGGTTTTTATTTTAGTCCGGTCCGGTTGAGGTTCGAGACACACTGGGCCGGGGGGATTCCATAGCCAGGCAGGCAGGCAGATGAGATATTTTCGAACCGCTTACAAAAATATCTTCACTGCACAGCACCCAACATCTATCGCTCACCTCTCTCTGTGACCGTGTTGAGTTGTTCTTATTTTGGATTTGCTTTTTAAGAATATTATCCAATGCTTTGATCTAGATCACTTTTTATAAGAATATATATTTTTTATATTCGACACGACAAAATATATAAAAAATAATATTTTATATGAAATTATTAATTTTTTTTAAACGATAAAAGATATATAATTACATCATATATATATATATATTTGAAGGTTGTACGGTTATTTTGTATAATATTAATTTTTTTGAATTTTTAAATTTTTATTTAGAAAAAAAAATAATTTTGGTCTCAATATGATTAAAATGTATCTATTTTTGCTCATATATATATAATTATCATATTTAATTTCAATATCAATTTCAATCAATTTCAGTTTCACCGTTATCAAACTAATAGAAAATATTAACGTAGATATAATGGAGTCGACGTAGATGGAATCAACACGCCATATACATAGAAACACACCCGTGTTCAACACAGTCAACACTGAATAGTCATATAACATGCTCATGCATTTTCTTACGGCCATAAACCAAGATAGTATATATACATGGTCGTGTGTATCCGTAAACACAACCGTGTACAACATAAACTAAATGCAGCATTCTCGCGATTAAACACGACCGTGTTTCAGCATACATGGCCGTGCAGTAGTTCAACAAGGTTTTTGGTACCGTTGCATTGATACATGGTCATGTGGTATGTTTACACGCCCGTGTTTCTTTCCATTTCGAACTAGAATTTTGTATTTTTTGAGTCTATTTATTTATTTTTAAATTATATATTAAGTTTTAAAAAAATTGACATAGTTAAAATTTAAATTGTATCCATTTATAAAATTACAATTAAAATTAGTAAAAATAATCTATTAAATTAACAAAAATTCATTACATATTTAAAACAAAATTTCATTATATACTTGAAAAGAATAAAAAAATACAAAGTTACTCACCCTCCCTCCCGTTTGGACAATTAACAAACAAAGACATCATTGTGAATGGTGATATTGTAGTATTCCAATATAAGTGTATGTGGAGCGCCAACGTTTGGTAAAATAGGATTGGGAAGATGTTGAAAAATACGCGAGAATGAAGATCTAATCTCCAACCGCACATTGTCCATCTGATATCGTCCATACGACGATGCATATCCATACTTAAATCATCAATAGCTGACTTGTCAATGGGCATGGTATCTTGAACCATGCGATAGGGCTGGTCACCCTCCGGCGCGCCCTAATCAGCGGGAAGCTGATCACATTCATCTATTGGCACAGAAGCCCTATCAACCAAATATATCTATCTACCCCTCCCCTTATCTCCTTCCTAACCATTTCCATCATATGCAGCGTCCAAAAACCACAAGGCAGCATGACATAGATCAGATCCCCAATCTCTTTATCAAAAGCTTCAAGGCCCTTTGTCAATCGAGTAACAGACAAACCAAGAAAAATTTTTATGAAAATGATGTCCTTAACCTAATGTATCATAAATCGAGCAAGCATACAACCCAAATTAATATGATAGAGCTCAAGTATACTCCAAAGATAACATAAATCAATATTCGAGACTACCACGGTGCTCTCGCAATGGCCGGAAAGTGAATGAGTCAAAATATAATGTATAATATTGTAGTGGCAGATACCAGAGAGTCGATGTCTTAGAATGTAAAGAATTGTAAGCCGCTTCTGTACAAATCCTAGACCAATATTGTAGTTTGAATAGGCATAAGAATTGAAAAGCCTTTTTGAAAGTCATCCGATTCCACAAAGTCCCGATTATATAAACCTATTATCACTATAGCCTAAACGTCAAAGTCTTTGATTTTTCATAATTATAGTTCGCCAATACATAATCGAGAGTTGACATTAACTTCAAAGTTAAATTTTTATAGCTCTACAATTCCAAAAAAACGAGCCAATGCCCCTATCGAAACTAAAGTCTCTACCTCCTCCTTCATCCCCAATGTAGACAAAACATTCATGCAAAGCGACAAAAAATCAAATAATATATATTTTTCAATCATAAATCCTTCCAACAAAATATTACATATTCCGATACTTTGAAAAAACTAATACTCCATCCGTCCTTTAACAATCTATTTATTTTTCTATTTTGGTATGTCCCATAACAAAGTATCAATTTTCTTTTTTAGTAACTATACTTTTTACTAACATTAAAAATACCCTTACAACTTACAATATATTACACAAACGTCATTACTTTTATATCATACAATACTAATAAGGTTATTTTATTTTTTTTCTATTTTATTCATACCACACCCTAATATAATACTAATATTTCTAAAACTCCGTGGAAAAAGCAAACGGATAGATAGATAAGGGACGGAAGGAGGGGGAGTATAAAAAAAAATCATAAAATTTACCAAGTAAACTCAACATAAAAAACCAATATATAAATTAGAAAAAATAAAATTTAAGGAAAAACAACAAATACAACCATATATTACATTTGAATCGAAGAAACAAACAAAAGTTTATGTTCCAAACTTCAACTCCCCCCCCCCCCTCCAAATAGGTGTCATCCGCCTCGTCCTCCTGTCGATCCGTCGTTGTCGTTTCCGAAAAATGGTAAAAATATGAAAGGAAATATATTTCTTCTTTATGTTTTCGGTCAAGAAATGCCTTAAAAACTTATAATCGAATTAAATACGACCGTGTACTAATTTTCCACGGCCGTGTAACTGACAAAATGATTAAAAAATCGTCATATACACGGCCATGACCCAAAACTACACGACTATATACAAAAACGACAGCTTTAAACGATATGTGAAACCTTAATTATGTATCGGAAAATATGCTACCACACAACCGTGTTTAATATATTCACAGCCGTGTATATCTCTGGACACATAGAAACTCCATATTTATTTAAACACAACTGTGTTATACAAACATGGCCGTGTAACTTTTTGGTTGCTAAGAAAACACGATACGTCCGTGTACGTATAGGATCACGGCCGTGTAACTTTCTGAAAATGCAGATATCCAAGGTCAAATAACCAACGGCGGTGTCTATTTCGCACATGACCATGTAAATTTATGGAATAAAGTTTTTACTCTTTTTCAAGACAATCTGCCTAGTTAACACAACCATGTATGTCATCTCTTTTTTATTTTCCAATTCTATTACATATCTTTACAATTTTGTATTCTAGATTGAACAAGAAATGACAACAAAAACAATTGAAATTAAATCAAAATAATATCTATTTTTTCATAAATTCAGTGAAGATAAGAGGACAACATAAATCCCCAAAATATCATCCATGCCAAGCAATCTCAAAACATGTCCAAACATTACACTATATCAAAACATGGACATCTATGCTAAAAAATCTCAAAAATTCATGTGTTCTTGTCGTCGCTCACGTGATGTTTCAATAGGATTCAAGTTTGCATATTTTCTCGGGTTAGAGTTCTTTTTTTGACCTATTTCATAAAATTCATACATTAGTCATAAATGTTTTTATATACAAACATAATTATAACAAATACGTATCCGTTAATTTTTTTGTGGGAGTTTATACCCTTTGCGGCTCCTCGTGTTCACCGAATGGAAGCTTTTGTCAAGAATATCACTTGTTTGACATAACCTTTCAGTAGTTTGCATTATTGTGGCAGTGAAATTTGATACATACAACTGAACTTTTTTCTGTTGACAACCCCTAAGTATATGACGATACGACAACAAAACTTACAAGTTACTCGTATTCTTTGTTTGTTTTGGAAAACTTACAAGTGTATGAATAAACCTTTCTAAATGTTTCAACACTATATACTTTGTCAACAAATTCCGTTGGATATAGTTGTTGTCCACAGATGACACTCATTCCATGGCGATAAGGAATCTCACATAAATTCCATTTTCTACACCTACACGACATCTTCAAAATGTCAACTATAAACTTGCTTCCATCTAAACAACTCACCTTGTAGGTCCAATTATCGGCTTTAATTGGTACATAAGATGAAACTCCTCGAATAATTTTCTATTATCTTCACTATTTTTGAAAAAAACTGCATGATCTCCTATGTTTAAAGTGTCATGTTTCTTTGCGTTGCAAGCCGTGACAATAAATACCTCGTAATTCACTCCAACATAGACAATACTGACATTTTTTCTACATATAATACTCTCTCCGTCTCAAAGTACTGATTCGTATGGAATTAGCACGACCCGGAGATCAAATTCTTGGTGAGAAACATCAACTTTATAATGTTTTAATAACGGCTCACACCTTTTTAAAGATCTTTTTTATGGTTATGCCGGCGATGATAGGTGGATCTGGTAATCGGTCTGTTCCGATTTTGATAGGTGCGCCTGACATGGCATTTCCACGATTAAATAATATTTCATTCTGGTTGTTGTCACCAAGTCTCTTGCTCCTATTAAGCTCAGCCTTAGTAGAAGTGGGTAGCGGAACTGGGTGGACGGTCTATCCGCCCTTAAGTGGTATTACCAGCCATTCTATAGTCTTATTATGTTGGACACGAGATTTAAGGAATATTGATATTATATTAATAGTGGGTAAAAAGTAAGGGTAAATTACTTTTTTGCCCTTGTGACTATATTAGTGTAAAAAGTAGTGGCAATTGTGTAATAATAATGAAAAGGTATGGATAGTTTTATAGTGATATGATTATTTATGGAAATGAGACTATTGTTTTGGGACTGACAAAAGTGGTAAATAATACTATTGTATTAGGACGGAGGGAGTATAATACTATTGAAATATTCACACAAATTGTT